CCCTACGCACATCAACTAGAAGGCTGGGGGCACAAAGGCCCCTGCAGACCAGCTTCCTCACCTGCACTGGAGGGGACTTAGAGCCGGCCCATCGCACCGTCCACTCAGCGCGGGAGTTCACGCTCCCTTACACAACTTCCGGCAGCATTTTCAGGAATGGTCTTCCCATGCTGCCCTGGAGGGCTTTAAAAAGCAGCACCGTCTGGGCCCACCCCCAAGTTCTGATTTCATTGGTCTGAAGCTGAGCGGGAAGGGAAGTTGTTAAAGTTCCTCAGGTGGGTGCAGTACGCTCCAACACTGAGAACCTAGGCTGTAGGTTTCTGACCAAACAGCAGACCACCTGAGGAGCTTTTGAAGCGGCCAGGATCCCAGGCCCCACGCCAAACCTCCTGAAGCAGGCGCCTAGAAGCCAGCATTTCTAGGCAGCTTTGTCCGGGGGTATTTGGCTCTAAGTACCTTCAAATGTTCAGCCCTTTCCAGCCCTGCCCGGCCTGAGCTGCAAGCCTCCCACTGGCAAGCCCTCCCCACCCCCCAGGGTTGCACCCGACTTCCCCATGCACACACAGCCCTGTGAGGAACAGCAGGGGGTGAGGAGGAGTTAGCAGCACCCCAGCCGATGAGGGGACTGCAAGAGAAGCAGCAACTGTCTTCAGAGCTGCCCCCGGGGCGCAGGTCTGAACAGAGCCAAACGCAGGGAAAGGTGAGTACCCTAAGTGACCGAGACAAAGGCAGGAGCACTTAGGGATGCACACCCCAAGTGCAACAACCACACTGATCCTCATCGCACCTTGCAGCTCTCAAGTGCTCCTCAAGCTCCTTGGAGCTCTACAGTGCTCCCCCCCCTACGGCCCCCTCGCCCTTGCAAGGCCGCTATCCCCTCCAGGGCTAACCTCAAGCCCCACCTTCTTGGACAGGTCCCTGGCACTGGTTTTCTTTCGGAGGCAATGGAGGTAGAAATGAGCAAAAAAGAGGCCTGGGCTCTCTGGCCCAGCTCTGCCCTGTGGGCAAGGATCCAGCCTTGGTTTCCTTAACTAAAAGAAATGAGATTTCAGAGTGCTTGGTCTGCATGGACCCCTCCAGGTCTAAAATCCAGTGATTCCCATTTCAGTGTATCTACTTCTCAAATGCTGACTGTAATTACAGTAAGGGCTATTCTTTTGAGTTTGTATTATATGCTGGGAACTAGCTCACTGTTTTAGATACTATACGTCATTGCATTTTTCCCCCACAACAACCCAATGAGGATGCATTATGATTATCCCGTTACTAGGAGACTGGGGTTCAGAGAGGGGCAGTAGCATCCCCATGGTCACACAGCCATGAGACTAACTGCAAAGCCCATGTCCCTAACCATCAGGCCATGCTGCTCCCCACTGTGCTCTTCTCCAGTCCCAGAGACCTTGTTGGGATCCCTGCTAACACGGGGAGGTAAATGAAATTGAGTAGTATTGTCCTCATTTTATAAATAAATTTTATAATCTCCTATCAGAGATAAAGTGACTTGCACAAGGTCACACAATGAAGGGTCAGGAATAATCATCCAGAAGGTTCAAGGCTTCTGGTTCTGTGCACCATGCTGTGGTGGCTAATTTCCCTGGCCTTGGAAGGCAATAAATAGACTTGGCTCTGTTTTGGTAGCATAATAATTGCTTTGTCCTTCTACTTTTGAAGGTCTTTCTCCTCTTCTCCGATTAACTATAGCTTAAGTGATAATTCTAAACAAGGAGTGAGTTAATTTTTAGTCTTGGCATAAAAGAGCAGGGCAATGGACAAGAACAAAGAAACTCCTCTAGCAAGGAAATTCTCTCAGAACACCCTGTACAAAAAAACACCACCATTTGCACATCGCCTGCCACACATTGTCATTATATGGGCACAACTTTAGCAGATTTTTGCTATAATTCACACAAAGAAATCAAGAAAAAAATGGTTTCATGTGTCCTTTTCATGACTCCAAAGGGCAATTCTTAACTAAAAAAATTATATTTTAACTCCCATTCATGGGAGACAAGATTTCTCAGGCACACAGACTTTGCCAAATGCCACCCTCTTAGGGGAGGACATGGGAGGGACACTCAATGCAAATGACACTGCAGATGTGTTCAGATGCCTCCCACCTGTGCAGGAAGGCTCAGCCTACAGGCTGCTTCCAACCAGCTCCCAGTAAGTTGCCATATGCCGCCAGGGCTCCGTGGTGGTAGGTGACCCAGGGATAATGGAGGACCCGGCAAGGCCAAGGCATCATCATCCTGGCCTGTCTTCTGCAACCTAAGCCAGGGACACAGGGGCCTCCCCACCAGTGGTCAATAGGGTAGCTTCTTCATACTCTTCCAGACAAAAAGGAGTGTCATCCTGAGTACATTCCAAAGGACAAGGTGGGGAGGTCACCACAAACCGGGACTTTTGCAAAGACATAAAGCTCCCTCTGGGCTGAGTTTGGGGCCTGCCTGTCAAAAGCACAGCTACCCAGCATGGTCTGGGACCTTCTCCTGTTGACACTTTCCCACATATGAGTCCTGCCTTCTCATCTTGCCATAATCCATCTTAGGTGTAGGGTGCAGAAATGGGGTCAAGGTTGTACCTATCAGATGGACCCATGGCAGGTGATGATTCGCAAGGGAACAGAGTGAGAAAGTAAGCCCCAGGATCTCCTCTGGGGAGCTTGCAGCAGGGTTCCTGGCTCTTGAGGCATGGCCACAGGGACTACCAGCACCTGGATGCTGATGCTGACAGTGCCAGATGATGGCAGCAAATGCGGCCTCCCTGGAGCCACCGTGCAGCGTGCTTGAGTGCTATTGGAACCAAATCCAGTGTTTTAGCCTGGGGCCGATGATGTCCTTGCATGAACCAACCTTACGTCACCAAAGGTGCCAATGTACTTCCTGAGTAAACCTGAAATGCCTTTGCCCAGAAGCTCCTGGGAGGATCAGAGGAGTACAGACTTGGAATCGGGTCCACCTGCGTTCAAACTTGGCTCTACCATCTACTGGCTCTCTCTCCCCGGAAGTGTAATTTAATTCCTGACCCTCAGTTGTTTCAGATGAGAAACAGAAACAATGAAATCCAGTCACATAACTGTTAAGAGAATGAACTGTTAAATAAACAGATCGTGAATAACGTGCCTGGTATCATGGTTGGCATAACAGGCGTTCCATAAATGTTATTTTCTTCCCCACTCTAATTTTCTTTTTTAGAGAGAGTGTGCACATGCTGGGGGTGGGGAGCAGAGGGAGAGAGAGAATCCTAAATAGACTCCATGCCTGGCACTGAGCCCGATGCAGGGCTCAATCCCAGGATCCTGAGATCATGACTTGATCCGAGATCAAGAGCCAGATGCTTAACTGATTGTGCCACCCAGGTGCCCCTTTCTTCCCCACTCTTAACTCCAACTGCTGTCTAATGTAGTGATGCTTTTTTTCCCCTAAGCTCCCATCTCCAAATCATTTGAATTTTGATAAGAAAAAAATCAAACAGGGCATGGTCTTCAACTATAACACCAGTAGAGAGACATTTTTCAGGTTGATAATAATCTACTCATAACACACCTGGTATATGTTTAATCAATGAGCCATGAAGTCATCCAATTAAACTGTCATCCAGCCTGAATTCTTGCATCTTATATAAAGGGATGTCATTGTCAAATACTCAGTAAAAACTATAGCCATGGAATGTTCCCAAGTCTATCAATCTAATAATTTTTTTTAAATAATGATGAGTAGAATCTGGTGTGACATAATAATGAGCGTGTGTATAGCCTATGGTAGTTTCTAGGGTCTGTTCCCATTGGGTCCTCAGAAAACCTTGTTGGTTCCTACGAAGGATCTTGGCCTTAGTGCTCATGGTCATATTATTCAGGAATCAGTTCTGGGGTCCTGACATTTACTTGACTACCAATATTCAGTAAGTACCTATAACGTGTTGAGAAAATGCTACATGATAGATATTCAGAGAGGCCCAGTACTGACCTAGTAGAGCTTTAACAGCAGACAACTGAGGGAGGGGACAATTAAGGGGGAAACACCATAAACTGTGGCAGGTATAGGGAAAACCCAGCAAATCATCGTAAATAGTAGAGTCAGGTAGAAAACTAACACTAAGAAGGTTTCCATTTTCCCTCATTTTTGAGCCATTCATGAAGAATCAGCATTCCCAGATAAGATTCATCTGGCTGTAATCTATTTTTAATTCAGGCAAGGTAGCTTCAAAGCAACTTTTGGGGAGGTCCTCGAACACCAGATTAAGACAGCTAAGCTTTATTTGGAAAGCAACAGGGAATCTCTGAAGGTTTCTAAAGAGGAAAGTGATGAAATCAGAGATATACTTGGTTCTGAATGGATGAGGACCAAAAAGAAGGCAGGCGGCCCCCAATCAAGAAGCTATTTCAATAACCTAATAAATAAAGGAAGAGCTGACCATATGTTTATATGTGATTTATATGTGATTTGACTTTCTGCACACCTCTCTGATTTTTTATGTCTATAGCTTTATTCAGATTCACAGCAATCAGAAGTATTAAGCAAGTCTCTATGTAGTCTAAAAGTAACTTAATGTTAATTAACACCATCACAAATCATTTTCTCCACTGTTGTGAGCTCAAAAGATGATATAGCATAAAATAATCTACTAGGACATCTGCCAAGGAAATGAAATATCCAGGAAGTTATCAGTAAAAACAATGCTTAAGATAGTTGTCAAACTACTAAAATCTATTAAATATTAATTATATTTGGTTTAAAAAAAAGGTCAATATAATGTGCTTAATTAAACCATACCAGAAATTTTCCTGCCCCTGAGTGGCCTTGTCAAGAAAAATTACCCCAAAATGCAAAAGAGTTTGCAATTACTACCGGTCAGTCACTTGCATCTCCCTTCTCTTGTGTGACTGTGAATGCAGAGAAGGTCAAAGCTACAGTGGTCTCTTCTGAGTATTTTAAGGCCTTAATGTACCCCCATATCTTAAAAGGTTGGGACTAGTCAGCAGGGACAACAGTTGCTCTTACCCAGCATCATCCTGGAAGCCTTCCAGCTCGTCCCGTTGCTCTGCCAGGGTGGCCTCCAAGTCCAGGTAGGCGCCATTGTGGGACAGCTGCAGCGTGCAGTCATCGAGCTGCAAGAGAAAGAGCCTTTAAGCCCAGCCTGCTCCTGGGATGCGGACTTTGGATGGAGAAATCACTTCATGTTGCCCTCAGGTGTTTTTTTAAATCAAGCATGATTCTGAAATTCAAATCGTAACTGGAAGAGGTAGCGGGTTCATACAAATAAATTGGGAGCACACGACATAGTGAGCAGCCAGCAGTGACACCTATGAAGGGAGTGGCATTGACAGGGCCCAGGAGACGGACAGGGGAGGAGAAGGAGCCCTTTGGTGCCAGTGCCACTTTCCACTCTGAGGGCCCCAGGAATACGCCATGGAGGATTTGGGGAGTGGAAACCAAAAATCACAATGCCGATGTGACCACAGATTAAGAGTCACCGAGTTTAAAAGGCAAATCTGGTGGGCAGAACCATGCCCTTTCCTTTGATTCAGTGAGAAGCCTACTCCTTCAGATTCTATGGTCAAACCTGGCATGTGACAATGAGTAGTTGCTCAATAAACATTTTTACAGTTGAACTAAAAGAAACGTTCTCCATCTGAATGGCACCATATTCAAATTACAACATACCAAAGAAGACATTAGGTCTCTTTGTTACTAGTCGTATTTTTAAAAAAAAATTATTTAACACTTACATGTTGTTAATTATGCCCCATGCATAATTCTAAGCATTTTACATGTGTTACATCATTTGATTCTCACACAAACCCTACTAACTTCTATTGCTCTCCCCATTTTACAAAGAGGAAATGAAGGCACAGGGAAAGACTAAGTTACTTGCCCAGTGTCACTTCTGGGAAACAGCAGAGCTGGGATTTGGATGCTGGTAGTTTGAATCGAGGTCATGCTCTCAATCACTACGCCACTCTGCATCCTCTCTACGGCCACAAACCTACAAAGAGCTTGAAAATATCATGTTTGCAAAATGCAGTATGTGTCATCTTAGTGTTCTGGTGTGGCCAAGGCCATGCCACATGTTTGCCAACCCCGTTCCCTTTTCCTCCTGGGCCCTAAGGGCACATATCCCGGCCTTACAGTGGGGCTAATGGCCATGTAACTGAGGGCTGACCAATGGAATATTAGTGAAAGTGAAAAAGGCTCTCGGCAGGCCTGGCCTCAACACCCCTGCACACCCATCCGCCCTTCTTCTGCCTCTCCTACAGCCTGAGGCAGAGAAGCCAGAGGCTGGATGCAGAAGAGCCAAACGAGGACTCCAAAGTCTGGAAACCAGAAACCAGCAGAGCCCTGGATAGGAGGAGCTCTCGTTCCCGAATCACTGCGTGGCAGAGAGCATTCTGTTGCCCGGCGTCCACTACCCGCCCCGGCTGGTGACAAGAGCACAAGGCATGAGCCTTTGCTGTGGTAAATTAAGATTGTGAGGTTGTTACAGCAACCAGCATTCCATGACATTTAAAATGATAATACACTTAAAAATACAGGAAAATAATTTTACTAAAGATTAACAGTATGAGGAAATCCAACTTCATGCTTGATTTCTTGGGCCATAAGGGTGGTTCTTAGTAGTCACCTACCTGATGAGTTAAGGCTCTTATTCCAAAATGACAGAAGATTGGGGGAAAGTGAAGGCAAATATTTAGCTACTTTAAAGCATCTAGATAAATGCCTGATAATCCTCCCACTATAAGTGAGATTTCAAACAAGGAATTAGTCTCTTTTGATGGAAAAGCTTTGCTTATTATCCCCAACAAGAGAAATATAGACTGTCAACTTGTCTAGAATCGGCATCTATAACAGGCTGCTAATTCTGGTAGAAACCCCGCAGCTCCTGTTTCTAGTTATCCTCAACAGAATGAAAGGAATTTGTTTTTTTTTTTTTATTACTTGTAAGAAATACCTAGCTAAATCATTTGAAGGGGTTAATCCCATTTGATTCACTTGTTTTATTTCTCTCATAACAAACCGCTCCTCTTAGCTACTAAAGGCACACTGGTGAGGCTCAGCATTCTTGACTGGCATTTTACAGATGGATCATCTCATCTGAGAAAGCATTTAAACCCAAGGATCCAATTGGCCAAACTCACTGTACTGTGGTGTGAGAGGTGCACCCCGAGTTCGGGGGGGAACATGCAGGGGAGCTGCCTCCCCCAGCCTGCGGAAACAGCCGACAGGAAGGATTTCCTGCAGAAGGCATCTCCTGGGCCAAGGGTCTCCTGTGGACTGAAATCAGACTTGATTGCTCCTAGATGGAAAATTCCATTAGAAACTGGACCTGTTAACATGTACACTAAACCGAGTGTAGAGTTTCAATCAGCGCAGCTCAGGCTTGCTTTGACCCCCTGCTGAGGTTGTTAACTAAGAAAACTGACTTGATCTGTCTTGTTGATAGTACTAACACTTTTGCTTCTTTTGCATCCCACTTATAATCCACAGACCAGAAGATGGGGATAATGAAAGCCCTGTAAGCCATAACAGTTCCTTTTGCCTCAGCCCCTGGAAACGTGTGAGCCCAGAAAAAGAGGCTTTTGGATAAAGAGTTTCTGCTTCTCCTCCAGGGGGCCTGAGTCATTCCAAGGCTAGGGTCCACACTCAGGCCAAGTCGGAGAGGAAGTGTTGCTGTGGGCGTGGGGAGAGGCAGAATGTGCACGTGTCTGTGGTATAAGTACTCCTGTGAAGGCCCATTTCAAGCTACCAAAGTGAAGTCACTGAGTGTAGAGTTGGAAAAAGAGACACAGAAGCCCCCCAGTATATAGTGTTTTCACCATAACTTATTTAATTGTATGTTTATATAATTTACTTTTCAATAATGGCTACATTCAACAACTAGCTCATACAATTTCCCAAGAATTGACCCGTCAGCCCCCTCCAGCCACCCAGGCCAGCTCCAGCACACAATTTCTGACCTTCCCATGTCATTCACTGGAGGCACCCAAAGTGGAGACAGCAGGAAGCAGATAAGAGGCTGAGGACCCCATCCCGGCTTTCCAGCCTCACCACCGCACCTAGCCCTATGGCTTTCTCCTTAGCTGGGGCGGAGGTGGGGCTCTCTGGTCACCAGGAGACATAGCCTTGTTCTTACTGGCAACTGTGGCCAGTTTGCCCATCATCTTCATCCCATACCTTCTGCTTTATTCTCAGGAGCCTGAGATGAATATGAATATCCGGTTTTCCTCAACATTCACCAAGTATCTGCCTCAGCACACTCCCAGCCAGCCTGGAACCACAACAGAACACCCCACAGTCTCCCTGGCCTCCAACAACAGAATCCCAAAAGCTTAGCAGAACTGCCTGTTCTCATCATTCCTCTCCTCACATTCAGGGCATCATTACTACTCTTTCCATAGCTCAGTTTTAACAAAATTATATGTCAGGCACGGGCTGGGCACCAAGGAACACATAGAGGCTTCCTCCCCTCAAAGATCATTTTATTGAGTAAATATAACACACAAATAGAACACAGAAGAGAATTAAAAGCCATTTAAACCAACTGTTACAATGTGTGGAAGTTCATCCTCAGTCATATTCCTTCCCTATAATTAGCAGCCACAGGCTCCCGGGACCCAAGCATCCTCTGTAAAAATGCCCCAGTCCTCCTTCCAGAAGAAAGGCCATCATTCCTTCCTAAGCCGGCGTCACAACCCTGCTCCCCTAATTAACAGATGGGCAATCTGTACTAGTGTTAGTTAACTAAAACAGGGGAGATGAATATGTGCCTCTTAATCTGTCAGGAAGTGTGTGTGTCGTCCTCACAGTAGAGCTACAGGTCGGGGTCAAGGTCAGACGTCGCAGCCTTTAGTGAGCCGGGACACGTGAGCACCACGGGGGTCCCAACCACACGCACAGCCTGTGAAGACACCACACAAGTCAACGCACACGGCCCGCTCCACTCACCACCCAAGCCCCAACTCATCCGTACACCCGAGACACAGGAGATTAATATTTAAACCATCACATGGGCCAAGGAGTCAGAATAAAGGGCTTCTTTGCTGGACTGACACACTGAAACCGTGAAATCCCCTAAAGGAGGGTCAGCTTTAGGTATCACTTTAAAAGCAAATTGGTGAGTACACTCAATGAATTCTTCAATCTTGCCAGGGATACCTGTTGTAAAAGAACCCACCGATGTGAATAAGCAGTGAGTCAAGTCCCAACCTGGCTGTTCTGAAGATTCACACAGAACTATCCAAACTTTGCCTCCACAGTGGGGGACGCAGACACCTCCCTGCCAGACCAGCGCCTGACAGGCAACCTCAGTTCCTACTTCCACCGAGGCAACCTGATCCCCTCCCTTGGCCGCTCATGTCAACCGTCTTCCTGAATGACTTAAGGGTCCTGGAATTTCCTGACTCCGACAATTTTCATGTCAGCCCTGATCCCCTGGCAGCTTGTTCCCCGCACTCCTTTCTTGGCTTTCGGTGCAGTGGCCAGGTCACTGTCGGGCACTGCAGGACATAAGACAAAGCAGGGAGCCCTGTGGGAAGATACCGTTACAGGGCTGTTCCAGAAGTGCGGCGGGCAAGGAAGTCTAGTGGCAGTGACACTGGCATGGCAGGGAGACCTCAGCTGCTGGCTGTGAACGTGTGGCCAGGATTCCGGTGAGGGGGCAGGGTGCTCAGGAGGGGCTCAGCCACAGAGCCACAGGAGGGATCCTTCCAAACACCCTGGAACTGTGTGTCACCCCACGTTCACACACCATTAAAGCAGGCCCTCCGCCCCTTGCAGGCAGGTTGCACAAGGCCACTCTTGGGTTCTCTTGCCTGTTCCCACAAAGACAAGGCATTCAAAAAGAAAAGGCAGACTGACCATCCTGGGGAAAAAAAAAAATCTAAAGCAAGGCTGATGTCACGTCTCGATTTGTATATTCTTTTCTTTCCTTAATCCAGTGAAGTGGCATGTTCCTGGGGTGGTTTAATGATTACCTCCGTTTGGCAAGTGGTCCACAGTGATCCTTAGTTTAGGCAATAAAATAGATTTGCACGGAACCATTCTATAAATATACACAAGGGCTATCCTTTAAGCTAATTTTGGTAATAGTTCAGAAGTGGAAACACATAGG